TCTTCAGCTATATATGGAAGCAATTAGAAGTTGAAGTATCAGACTATTTGAATTGTGCAATGATTTGTTATTGCATACATGTACCTTAGAATAGACACGCTGCGGATTAGCTGCGGTGGGGCAATTAAGGTTGCGTGGATAAGCAGCCTCATTTTCTCTCATTTGACGTGGGGTCATGAAATGGCAAGGTTGTCATGGGTGCTTTGATCTCCGAAATGGGGATCAACTCATTTAAATATTCAAGCATGTGAGAACTCGCAGTGCATTATTACGTACTGGTACATGTATAGTGGCACTTGGGCATGGATAACAGGGAAGGCAGCTTTGTTAGGCCAGTTCACACCTCTGCAACTTTGTTTAACAATGCCATGTATCTGTACAAATGTGCAAAGATGATTGAACAAGGGTACATGTACATATAGCATGATTATTAAGTGTGACAAAGATGATTGAACAAGGGTACATGTACATATAGCATGATTATTAAGTGTGACAAAGTTGTGACAAATAATACAGATTTTATGAATCCAAATCAAAGTGATTTTTATTGTTCGTCACAAAAGTCGGCATACCTATTAAAGTATTCCCCAAAACATTCTCCATCTTCAAGCATCCCTTTGATCAGGATATAACCACGTGCCCCCACCCTAGGTGTGATCTTCTTGTAGGAATGGTGTCATGTTGCCATGACCTTCTTTGTTGGTCTGCTGTCATTTCCCAAACAGTGAAGTTCATGTTGTCTTCCGTCTCCCGAGAATGAAGACGATGAGGCATATGAGGCAGCTATGTGTTTGAAATGTATTTGAAAAATTGGTGGTTCTAATTTCTTTGTGAGGTAAATGTCAAAAAAATCACGACATGTCACACATGAGTCTGTAAACTAGAATCTGCAACATTACCGTGCAATAAAGTCATTGCAATGGAAAATACATGTAGGCACATCACAAAAACAAATCCAAGCATGATTTCAATGATAATTTCAGTAAACATGTGCATCCCTTAAAAAATATTGTTGCTTTGCTCGAGGACAATACGCAATCACAGAATAGAAATTATCATCAGTTTTCTGCTTCTACTTTGCCGTTACCTAGGGAATATATTTGTGCTTGACTGGTAGACTGTCTCAGGAGAATGGATGCGACTAATGCCCTCGCCTGCGGCTCAGGCATTATGAGCGTTCAGTCTCCTTAGCCAAATACATATTTATTCCCATTCATAAATACCTGTTTAAGTCAGAGTCAAAAGAAGTAACATATGATGGATTTTCAACAATTTTGTTCTAGAAGTTTATTTTCATTTTTCTGAACACCCCCATCCATTTTATGTTGTATTCCTTTTGCAAGTTGTCCAATATAATCTCCTTAAATATGGCCTTGGCATGGCGTATTCTGCATGTTGTGTCGTACACAGACTCATGACCAATGGGGATGGAGTTCATTGTCTCGAGTCCAGATACCAGCGCATTTTTACCTGAACTTTGTTTAGAGAATAATGTGCAAATTTGCATTCGTTTATTATGGATCACTTTATCTGAAATTGCCTGTTTGAAAATGAAATTTTC